TCTCCTCATCACCATCGCCGCCTCTCTCACCTCCTTGACCGCCGACATCTCTCTCTTCTTCGACCATCGCAGCGACCACTGCCACCATCTTCATCGCCGTCGCTCCTCATCTCTTCGACCACCGACCAAACAGCCGCCTCCAGATCATCGTCGCTCCTCACCTCTTTGACCACCGTGCCTCATCCTCACCGCTGCCTCTCTTCCTTTCTCTCCACCGCCTCCAAATATCGCAGCGACCAATGCCCCATCTTGCAACCACTCGCCGACCAACAACACCAACGCGACCAGATTCATCCCCTCTTCAACTAAATCACCCCACCACTGTTTCGAGTTTGCCGCTGCAACACCAACACCATCTCGCGCCGCACAACAGCCATCCGCTGCTTTCAACCATCGTTCGACTTGCTGTCACATAAGACCTAAACGCGGACGGACTAGTCAGGGAGCACCAACTTCTAAATCACGACGACAAAAAGGTAACCCTCCCTCTCTCTATAATCCTCATGGTATAGAATTTATCGATGAACAACAACAAACTAGGTATAATACACTGGTTAAGCGGAGAATTCTGAGTACCCGCTACTTGGATGAGAATTGTTTGCGTGAGTTAAGACTGTGGGATGATATTTCATACCTCCTAAGACGGGTTGGTTAGATAAATTTTGTAGAGGCTAAACACCCCACGTACGAGCATATTACTCTTGAGTTTTTGAGTTCTCTTGACGCTGTTTTATTTAATGGTGAGGGATTAAAAGAAGGAAAAATCACTTTCAGACTATTTAACTAGTCCCACACACTTACATTAGCACAATTAAATGATATATTTGGTTTTCCCTAGGGTGGGGCTAGGATTGGCCCCTAAAAATTTTAAGCTGACCCCCTTTTGGACTTCCATCGCACGCTCTACCACTCAAAGAACCTACGATCCCTTGATGTCAAGGGCATCTACTGTTTATAACCCATGCTTTAGATATTTACAGAGGTTCATGGCTTTCACCATTTTCGGTCGAGGCGAGAGCGATGGGGTCATGTGTCAGAGAGAACTCTACCTTTTATGTGCTATGGTCGAGGGACACAAGGTTGACACAGGAGCTTTTATGATTCATCATATGTGTCGTGCAACGAGAGCACGAGTTAAAAAATTATGTTTGGTGGCTTGATTACCACTTTAGCTTACGGGATGGGTTTAAGGGAACTCGTAGAGGGACCTTATCCATTAAGCCCTAGTGCGTCCATTAACCTCGATGTTTGTCTTCATATTAAATTGATTAGCCGTAAGGGCAATAGGTTATGGTTATGTTTTCAGGACAATTATCTTTTTCCACTCCCTGATCCTGATCGCACGACCATCCATGTTCACGCCAATTGGTGCTACCTCACATCTGATTTTGTGAATTGTGAAGGTCACAAGGTTGTGCCAGCTAAGGATGCTGACACAGTACCCCCGATCCCTATCCAGGCTCAGCCTGATAGGGGTGCTAGCTCTTCCCACCACTCAGCGGAGTTATCAGCTATCCATATTTCCCTTGCCTCGCTTACTAACCGTATAGGTGCCATTGAGCGAGAGCAACAACGTCAAGGATAACTCTTGGATTCTATGCACCGCATGATGCGGTCTATTCATGAGTGGCAGGGCCGCCAGGATGCCTCCGCTCCACCTCCTTCTGACCAATGAGTTGGTATGTCCCCTGTACCCTTGCACTCATTTACATCATACTACATTGGGGACAATGTAGATCTTAAGCTTGGTGTGTGGGTTGTTTATGTATTGATTGACTGACCATGATTACCTATTTTTTGTTTTTTATTTTCATTTTTCTTTGCTTTTATTTTTGTTTTTCTTTGCTTTGTTTTTAATTCAAAAAACAAAACAAAAACAAAACAAAAAACAAAACAAAAACAAAACAAAAAACAAAACAAAAAAAGAAATAGGGAAATGATCTCCTGATGATGACATGAATCCATAACCTTTATAAATCATTAAACTAGATAGATGCTTATTAGTCGGGACTAAACAACTTTTTAAACCACCTTTCAACTGATTCTCAAACGTTTTTTATTACAAGTTAACAATTTGGCAGACAAATAAAACCGGTGAGATATTGAGCCTGAAATTGGATGCATTACATATCCAATTATTATTTTCTTTTCTTGTGTGATATTCTACAATGGTGTAGGATACTAGAACTTGCATTGAATCTCTTCAAGACCACATATAACTTTTGTATGCATAAAAGGTGATTGAGCCATATTTTTGTTTATAGTCCACTTTAGCCAAACAGTCTATCATGCACTATTGTTCCCTTTGATTAGCCCATTTGAGCCTATTAGCCTATTTTTGTTGATTTAACCCACATATGTAACCTTTAAACCTGATTTTATTTCGTACCCATGCCTAGGCTAGTGGAGCACAATTTATGATATAATGAGTTATGTGAGTAATAAGGTGTAAGCTTGGGGGTGTGAAAGTAGGTGTTTGCTTCCTTTTCATAATTCTTTAAAAAAAAGATGAATAAAATGTCCTCTTTATGGTGTATGTAATTATTGGTGTCAAAAGAATTCATTATGACGTACTAAAAGGAGAAGTTGGAAGAAGTTCATTGATAGATGATGATTTTGTGTGGATGCCATTGATCTTACTTTGAGATCTAATCTTTTTCAATTATCACTCCACTAGTGATAGGCTGTCAACTACAATCCAAATATCTATCCTACCTTTTGACCCTAGCCCCATTACAACCAAATAAAAGACCTCATGATTTTGTGGCATGCCTTAGTCTTCAAAGTGGCGGAGAATTGAGATGAGTTGCAAGCCTATGGATTGAATACATCCATTCGGAAGAATTTTGAGCGACATAATCCTATCCTTAAACACATAAGAGATTGAGAGTCCACATACCCTAAAGTAATGTCTACGAATTTAACTACCTGAAAGTCTTAATTTTACTACTTCTGGATTGAAGCTAGCTACATGAATTTCTTTTTCCTACTTTGACTTGAGAATTGGATAGGATGGCTATCCTTGACTTGTGACGCTTTTGATAGTAAGTAAAGTTTGAAATGTGATTTCGTTGAGAGTTTTGAAAATTACTTTGTTAAGTCCCGATGAAATGTTTTTGCATGTCTTATGATATGTTTGATATTGGCTATTGGATTGATGAGGGGGTGATCTCTACTCTATTTGGCTTCCACTCCTCTTAATTTTTTATTTGCTTGAGGACAAGCAAAAGTCTAAGCTAGGGGGAGTTGATAAACACGTAAAATATGCATTATCTTAGTATGTTTCAAGCATGATTTAGGGGTGTTTAATACATATTTCGTGTTTAGATCGAGGATACTGCTGTGGTTTGTATTTTTATATATAGGTATTGGCTTAAGATTAAAAGATTTGATGATCGTTGGAAGTTAAATAAGAGTTTGAAGCAACAACAAGATTTCGAATGCATGGTTTGAAAAGAAAATGGATGCACGAGTATGAAATACTAGAATTTCAACCATGATGCAATCTGAATCCGGAAAATCTCAAAAGATAAAAGTTATAGATCTCTTCAACAGCTTTCCAATTCAACTTGAATCACCTCATTCTGAGGTCGAACGCAAAAGTTATAGTCAAAATACCGAAGACTGTATAAACAAGCACAAAATCAGCAAGACAGATTCCACCACACCCTGGTTTGGTGCGCATCACACCTATGGCGTGTGTCTTATCTTTTTTTTAGATTTTTTGAGACATATAAATAGATATTTTGGCTTATGGTTTAGGGATCTTTTATTATGTTCTCCTAGCCGTCAATTAGCAACTATTTTAGAATTCAAGTATTGAAGGAAGACACTAATTTCTTGTACAAGATTGGATTGCAAGTTCTTATTTTGAAGATTTCAATTGAAAGACGGGTTAATTCTTTCCTCTTTTATTAATTTCTTCTTATGATTGATTTGCATATTTATTTGATGTATTCTCTTATCCAATCATGTGTGAGTAGATTTTTTATCCAGGATTAGGAAAGAACCCAACTTTTTGGTGATTGATGATGAATTAATATAGGTTCTTGGTGAAAGTTTAAATCTTTAAACTTAATTTCTTGTGTTTTAATTTTGTTGATTCACTTGATCACTGTATTAGCAATCATAGGTAATTAATTGAAGGAATGAAATGTGAAGATTAATATCGGACCTATAAAAATTAAACATGGAACTTGAACCACGAAAGTAGGCTAGGTTTCTTAGGGATTTGATTAGGATTAACATAAATGGGTTTAATTTAATCTTGATTCCACGAAAGTAGTTTAATTGGGATTAATTAGGCACGATCTTTAAATCTTAAAAGAGGCTTTAGATTAATTTAGGCTAATTCACCATTTCTAGTTTAAACCAACACCAAGAACTGAAATAATTCATCATTGAGCATCGAAGTTGTGGTGAAAACCTAATCCTGACCCTTCATTATATTGAATTCCACCTGATTAGTTATTTATTTTATTTTTTTTAATTTTAATCTCTTCTAATTTACTCATTAGTTTAGCTAGTCGAATAACGTTAAATTTGGTAATTAACCCATAGTCCCTGTGGGATCGACCTTGATAGCTACAACGAGTATGTGCACTTGCAGATTTTGCCAACCAAAAGTATCAAAAACTACTTTCAACTATCAAAGTGAAAAAGGATAATCTTTGGTTTAGAAACTCAATTTACCCATATTGTTCTTCTTCTTTGTCCACTTTCTTGGTCTTCAGCACCCACAAAAACCTTTGCCCGCTTCTCTCAAGCCCATCTGCCAATTCTTCGATCTGCTCCGCTGCCATGGCCGTCCTGCTCCCAAAACTCACGTACACCACCGAATCCTCCGGCTGTTCGTCGAGCCACGATAACGCGGTTCTTTTCTCCGATCGCAGTGGATTACAAAGAGGCCCAATCGCAAACACCGGCGGCAGGTCAGGCGCTACGTGCCCCGCATTCAGCGCAGACAACGCCTCAGGCTCCAACGCTTGGAATGTGTTCACCAGGATCCCGTCAGCTTTGGTAAGGGCCTGACCATTCTCGACGAACTGGATTCGAAATAGATGCTCCGGATCACGGAGAGGAGGAGGCAACGATGAACTTGGTATGGTTCGCAGTCCAGGTATGTCGATTTTGTCGACGATGCTGCTACTATTTTTGGTAATGTAAGTCGGGAAGTAAGCACAGAGAGCTAACATAGCGGCGGAGGAGGTGAAGAGTATGTAGCAAGGGAGGTTTAAAGTGTTGACAGTCGGAATGAAGGCAGAAGCCGAGAAAATGTCTACGATTACTGCAGAGATAGGATCAGAGACTGCAGCGAGAAGAGGAGCGACGTGGTAAGCGGAGCGACGAATGGCCTCTAAGCGAAGGAAGAAAGGGTCGGTGGTTGAAAACTGATCGGGGTTTAGTTCGTCAAGAGGGAGATTGAGGAGGTTGATTTTGTTAGGGAACGAGTCGAGGAGGCGAGAGATGCAGAGGGACTCCGCGTTGGAGACGCGTCGTTGGGCGGGGATAAGTCAGCGGTGCAGCCACGGGTCAACGAGGGTGCGGCGAGGCGGGCCGAAGGCGAAAGGAGGTGGCCCATGCCGGGCGGAGGGGAGGAGGACTAAGTGCGGGAGTTTGCCGTCGCCGGAGATCGACATTGTTTCTGGTGTGGGGGAGTTTGGAAGCTTCGGAGGTAGGTGGGAGAAGAGGTTGATAAAAGGAGCAGTTATTGTTGTTGTCAAGTGGATGGCCAGTCAATTCAATGCAAAGATTGGCAAGTAGCTGCTATTAGGAAAATGATAGAGGCACATCCTTAGCCACATCACTAACCACACTCCCCCCTTCTTGTTACAGTACAGTGGCCTCACATGTTTTTTTTAAACCCCCTCTTATTACAGTGCAGCGGCCCCACATGTGTTTTTTTTTTAAC